AATTAAAAGATAGGATACTGCACAGATCTTACCCACGCCACATTATTCAAGGGCATACTATTCAATGGTAATTTATAATTTACATTTTCGAGATGGCAACTAAGGTCGCATCTCAAGCGCATGTGTAGTGCATCTCAACTACTTTCGAAAGAGAGAGCCTTTGTGGAGATGCATACATCATTAAAACTCGGCAAGAATCCAAACATGCAATCGAAGAAGGATGGACTTGCCACAAGCGTCGTTTTATACTTTCAGTAAGTACCGTTTGTCTTTTTTCTGTTCCTTAGAGTGTTTGTATAAACTTTAACAGAGACATCGATTTTATTTTTGGAAAAATGTGATCACTGTGATGATTATCTTGTAAAACTATCGTGTGGGCATGTATCGTCTCGTAAAAGACCTTATCGAGTAAGTTTTAATTCGTTTGTAGTTGTCGTAAAATGATTTTTTTGTATGTAATATTACATCGCTTACGTATATGTACACAGAATTGCTAACATGTAAGCAGTAAATTCATACATGTTTTTTATATTTCTTTTAGAACAATGTGTAATTGTTTAACTTTAAGTACCGAACTGGAATAAATAAAAACATATATTTACAAAAGCTTAAGACTCGTGTTTCAAGTTTGTTCTTATTATCCGAAACAAATATTGTACGCCAATCATTACAAGTGTATTTTTGTGTCTCAAGTCCTTTAACGGATGCCTTGACATCTTCAATGCTCTTCATAAAATTTTTTTATCAAAACAATCTTGCTCACGCTGAGAGGGGTTATCAATCATATAACCATTGCAGTTCTTATTTACTTCAGCGTTTATCATTGCAACAGTTTCTTCAGCATAACAGTCTAAAACTTTATTTTCTAACAAAGTTTGACGTACAGTTATTTCATTCTTTTCTGACTCCAAAGGCAATTTGTTCATTCTTAATGCCTGATCAATGTCTACGTTCAATTCCATTTGTTTCAAGAGATAAAATGTAAACCTTTCGATAAAGTATAAGCTATAAAATACAATTACCTCGTTTTCTACCGTTTTTACCTTCGATTGAGAAAAGGAAACGCATCTAATGTTACTTTGTCAATAGCATGCAACTTCCAACTTTGTCGTACTTCCGATTTTCACGCCATCCAATAATATGCCTTGTTTATTAAACCCTATTTCCGGTTAAGAAGCGCGCGCACCGATCAACTTCAGGGGGCTGGAAACTAACTGGCACCGGTAAGAGCTCCGTGACAAAAGTGTGACAAAGCTGCACCTTATCTACTAATGTGCTTTTAGAGCAGCTATCAAAATCGCTCAAATTGTCTTCAAGCAGCGAAACAGTAGGAGGACGCCTCATGTTAAAGAAATTGTTATCAAAGTTGTTAAGGTAAAGCTGGCATTATTTCTTTACCATAAAATGAGTATTACCATACTATTTCATTTTTTTTCTCACATAACAAAAGTAACTTGTGAACCGTAATGAAAGTAGACACTTAAGACTTTATTGTGCAGTCTCGAGCTAATTTTCTAAATTTTCTGCTGTCTTTTCTTCGTAGAATGGCGCTTTCCTTGATGAAAAAATAAGAACGAATATTCAAAATTTTGTACATCACAACCAAAATAAATCAAATAGCTTTTTCTTCTTCATCTATACAGCAACATTGCGTTAAAGTCAACGAACTCAAAGACAATAACTATCTTTGGAATTTGCTTCGTACATCACATGGAAAATAAATCAAATAGCTTTTTTCATCTTCTATACAGCAACACTATTGCGAGTGAATAATATACAGTCGTGAATCTTTAATGAAGCTAAGATCATCTGAAGGTAGCGTTCCAGTGATATTCTTTTCAATCATCAGAGGACCTACGTGCTTTTGACAACGTGTTATCTTCAATGTTTATGAACTGATCAATCTGAAGGGTGATTTCTATTCAGTGTAAATTGTCGCGCCATCGACTTTTTCCGATCACTTTCTTTTCAATTGTAAGCCCTCGACCGGAAATGTTTCACACTGCTGCACTCAGATCAAAAAAGTGATCGCAAAAGTCGATCACGCGACAATTTGCACTGAATGAAAATCAGCTTTAAGTTGTTGTGTGTAAAACTTATTGTTGACGCCATTTCTTGGTTCATCTATATTTTATCCTATTAGAAGAATCGTTTCATTTATATTTGTATGCGTCTCTTACCCATGCAGACCTATCTTAAAATGCTTAATATAAATTACAATCTTTGACTCCTCGGTTGTTTAAAACACGGTACGATGTCTTATGTGAAAGAATAAAAAGTTGCCACGAGCTGCTGGAGCCAGTTTTTTTTATAAAAAAAAACGAAAAAAATCCAAGTTAAACTAAAAGACGAGCAGTTTGTTTTTGTTTCTTTCGACGTCAGCAAATGGGTTTTTTCCTTTTGTTTTATTCAAATTCACAAGACGTTCAATTTTGTTGTAAGCTTATTAAATTAATATTTATTTCATCGTTTCAATGACTCTATTTTTTGAATTCTTGTTTAGTCATTTTTGGGTTGCTGATTTGTTTTGATTTGGTCTTAATCAAAATCTTCTTTTCAAAATCTTGTGTAACAGGAGATTAGTATTTCTATTTAATCAACTGGAGTATGTTGCATTACAGTAGCCAGCCCGACTTAATTTTACTATTGCGCCATGAAATATTATTATGTCAACTGACCGTGAAAACAAATAAATAATAGTAATTATTAAATATCTACTTCACAGTAGTACATCTACCGGCTAGCCACGCTAAACAGATACTGAAATGGAGTTTTTTTATATTTACGGTTGACTATGCAACACTTGTATGTATGAATGCGAATTTAGGTCAGAGGAAAAACACTCGAAAAGTGTGTTTAATCCAAATCAAACAATTTTGACGAATTGTTTTTTACTCACAAAAACGAGCAGATGTGCTTGGTCTGCATAAAAATACTTTACTTTGATATTTCTTGGTTAGAACCTCGAGTTTCATTAATAAGTGCATACTATAGTAAAAAAGATCATGGTAACTCAATGAATATATTCCATGCAGAAGCTCGAGCATTTAATGCTAATACTGTAGATTTACCTCAGTCCAGTCAGTCTGGTGTGTGTGTACCTGCTTTAGAAGGCCAAGTGCTAACAACTAAGGGCAAGGATTTGTTATGCAATAGCTCATGCGATCTTTCCACTTTATTTCCGTCTAGCCACAAATGACTGGATGCCATGTTTGATATCTATGCTGCCAATACCTTAGTGCATTATCTCATCATTCTGATTGGGAAAGGCCGTGTAGCCATAAAGGGGTGGACACCAGGTTTGATATCCATGCTGCTAATACCGTAGTGCATTATCTCGTCGCATTGATTAGAAGAGTAGAGAATGATGTCATCATTTGCGTAGCAATCTTTGAAGAACTCACTTAGACGAGTTGTGAATGCTATTTGAGGTGCTGGAAAATTATATTTGCGTTTTTTTCTTTCAATGAAATTATACAATATCTCGCAAGCGAAGGAAAAAAAACAGTGCGTTGTATGCTTAGTCGAAAATCCATATTTCTGAGAAGTACAAAAGAGCCAACTCCTTCTCTTCCTGCAGCCGAAAATGCGTTTCCGCAAAATTAAGCGTTTTTTCATAGTTATATTAGTTCACGATTGCTCAAACTCGTGAAATAAAGGTAGCAAAACCTTCGAACACCTTAAAAGGTGCATCCATTGAATATGAATTAAACAGGATGTCAAAAAGCTTTATAGCAAGTATGCAATGTATAAAATACGTCAATAGAGCGTTCACCAACAATACCATGTGAAGATATATATGGCTGTAAGCAAGACAGAGCGTACAATCACGCCGGTACCCACAGCCAATTTGGTTCAGCATGTCAAAATATACAACAGTGCAAAGTTTGGTGTAATCAGCCTTACGGTTACCTTGTGACGTAAGATGACTTCAAGATTTAGTCAATGTTTTTTTGCTGCATTCAAGTGCAATGGTCCATAGCCAGTGTTGTTCACCATGTGAAATTCTACAACTGAAACCTGTAGTGCATGTTGATTCATATTGATATGCAAAGGGAAACTGGAACGCCAATTAGAGGTTGGGGTGGGTGTTCGTATGTTCAGCTTCTGAATATATAAACTTTCACAACAAACCACCCTTCATTAGCTTTTTGTTTTATACCTGCATATACAGGATGTGAAAATGTCGCTCGAAAAAAGTTCTCTCAAACAAGACGCAGTTTGTAATTAGCAAAAAGTGCTTTAACATCTGGTACAACTAGAAGTGAAATTTTTCAAAAATGGAAGATTTTTCATCAGTGAAAGGACCATTGTTAAAAGTTCTTTAAAACAGGCCTTGCACACGCAAAATACGAATCGGAAAAACAATTTCATCACCACAACGGTCTGTGTTGTACAAGCCATCAAACGTTTAAGCAATTTGGGGCAAGCGCTGTCCAACGCGAGATCTTTAATATATGAAATTTTTTGTTTCTGCCTTTTATACAATATGAACTTAGCAAGCCAATTCCCAAAGGTAAAAATGTCGTAATAAAACTTACTGTTAAATGCAAAAAGGCAAAAATTTCCTCGTGTCAAAGATCTCGCATTGGCATGAACTTGCCCAAATTGCTTTAAATTTAGGAATGGCTTGTACAACACAGTCCATATTTTGACTAGGTTTATTTTGACAATGATTATTTTTTTGGTTTGAACTGCAGGTATTTCACTGGTGAAACATCATGCATTTTGAAAAATTTAAATTTCATTCAAGAAGGTAAGTCTTTCAATGGAAAATTCTCTGTGTAACTAGTCTAAAAATGTGAAATATATAATAAATTGGTAAAAAATGAATTAAAAGACTTCTGAGTCCACCGAATCGAATCGTTTGAAGCCAATTTGAAATTCATATTTTGGCGCCATATTGTATATTGGTTCGTATATTTCACTTCCGACGTGGAGTTTTGTTTATTGCCGCGGAGTTTCGTTTATTGCCGTAGTTTCGTTTATTGCCGTGGAGTTTCGTTTATTGCCGTGGAGTTTTGTTTATTGCCGTGACACATTTGGGCCACTGTAACTTATCACTTCAACGCGTCTTCAACGGGAGATGAAAAATGCTATCAAAACGCCAAAAGTTTCGAGCCATTTTTATTTTTTCGGTATGTAGCTTACTCGTCATTCTTTTCAAATATGAGCCCGGTAGAAAATGATGAAGTGGCACACAGTTAATGATATAGAGGACCGAATCGTTAGTCAAGATACCAATAATATTGCTCTACAATTGACTCCGTCGAGACGAAATTTGGTTTTATTCATTGGTATCATAAGTGCTCCGTCTAACAATGAACGAAGAACAGCAGGAAGAGAAACATGGATTAAAGAATGCACCAAACGATCTGATGTTGTTTGTAAGTATTTCACTGACAGTAAAGATTCAAGTGGCAATTTGATTCAGGGTGAAGAAAAAGAGAAACTTGATGATGAAAGTCAGTTATATGGAGATCTTGTTCGTACAGAAACTCCTGGTGGGCTTTCATTTTCGGTAAAGCTACTCTGGATACTTCAGTGGGCAAATGATAACTACGATTTCAAATATTATTTGCGACTTGATGATGACTATTTTATTTGTTTGAACAAGTTGATGTTAGAATTGGCGAGTAATGAAAGACCAAAACACAGCTTACAATGGGGATGGCTACACTGCGAACTATACGGTATGTAAAATTAAATATTTTTGTAATTTATAGAGCTATCTATGCTCACATTTTGAACACAATGGTTAGTTTGTTTCGATACTTTCCTCGTGCAAAATTACGTTGGGATGTTGTCACAAAGTCGCATGAATATAGTGTTAAACAACACTTTCCAGCGACGTGTCAGCTAACGTGACGATCTTCGATCAAACGACTTTTTAAATGGGAAATAATAGCGCTTAAACCCTTTAATTTTATTGAAAATTACATCATTAGCATTAAAAGTTATATAAACATGTCACTAGTGTACAGATCTTCGTTAAATATAGTCCATAGTAATATATTATACGGTGGCCGACAAGAACAAGGGCAACACCAAAATTATTATGACCATCACAAAATTTCAAACTCAACACAAAATATTAAGCTCAGCACAAAATTATTAAGCTCAACACAAATATTAAGCTCAACATAAAATATAGAGCTCAACACAAAATTATTAAGCTCAATGATATTGATATTTTTGTAGCTGTACACAATGGCTAGCATCGAGCATCTTTATTGTTAAATTTTTTTCAAAAAAACGCGTTTTATTCCACAAAATTTGGCGAAAGTGTCAAAATAATAACTATCGATATAAATATTTGTAAATAAATCTTTGAAGGATGCAATTTCGTAAAAAAGTTCATCAACAAAATTTATCAACGAGTTTGGCTGACAGCCAAGGTCGATATAAATGCATGGTATCAAAATTTAGTTCTGTTCACACTTAGCTCACTTTAAGAGATCGATCTTGTGAATGAGAAAGCTCAATTTTGTGAGCTTTCACACTTAACTGACGCCACCATTGAGTTATATAATAAATGGAGCGGCTATCTCAAGCGCGGCTTTATTGTCGATTTCAGTTAACTTTTCAACTGGCAGTTGCCAAGTTACTTTCTAATGTTGCCAATTACATTTCCAAATATGGAATATTCCATATGAACTAGTCAATTTGAGTTGACAAATTGTGTATTTGAGTACTGAAGTTGTGTACCCGAGTACTGAAGTTGTGTACCCGAGTACTGAAGTTGTGTACCCCAGTACTGAAGTTGTGTACATGAGTACTGAAGTTGTGTATTTGAGTACTGAAGTTGTGTACTCGAGTACTGAAGTTGTGTTCTCGAGTACTGAAGTTGTGTACATGAGTACTGAAGTTGTGTACATGAGTACTGAAGTTGTGTATTTGAGTACTGAAGTTGTGTACTCGAGTACTGAAGTTGTGTACCCCAGTACTGAAGTTGTGTACATGAGTACTGAAGTTGTGTATTTGAGTACTGAAGTTGTGTACTCGAGTACTGAAGTTGTGTACTTGAGTACTGAAGTTGTTAACTAAATTTGCGAAGTACTACCAAACACTTTAATGATTGGTGCTCGATCAAAGTTTGTAGTCTGCACGAAACAAAATATACAATAGTGTTTATAATACTTGAATACATGAATACACAATTGTGTATTTAATAAATCTCTTCTTTTCTCTTTTTATGTGTTTCCTATTAGCAATGCGAGTTCAAAATTTGATTGACTAGTACAGCTTTCACCTCAATAAACTTTATACCCATATTTAATGCCAGTTGCTATTGGATTTTTCTCTAAGTATGCAACACCTGATGTTTTGTTACAAGAATGATGAAGTGCATGTACACATGTAAAAATAAGGCAACAAAACCAAATGAATTAAACACATTTTGTATTCTTTAATGCTATAAGCTTAACAGCTTTTCAGAAATTATAGAGTTATTAAACTGTACTACCTGTATTTCATTCATATTATGAAATGAACTATGAAGCAAAAAACTGAAGAAAAACTTGGAAAAACAAAACATTTCCCTGGTTTAATAAAGGTGAAAATAAAGCAAATGGCAAATGTCCATTCTGTACCTCATTATGTAAAAAAGCTCAAAGTGTTTTTACAGCAAAAACTGAAATTAAGAAGAAATATATAGCACTGAAGTTTTCATCACTGAATCTTTAATGCTTCAATATGGCATGCATTACATATAACTAACATACAAACAACATTCTACTAAAATGACTTAATAAGGAGATGTGACATGTTTTTACAATTTATTTGTAAAAAACACACTGTACTGTGCAGTTGAAGCAAGTCATCATCAATCTCGGTATCAATTTGACACAAGCACAAACTTTATGACCTTTTTACATGACATTTCATCAAGCATCAAGACACACCAAACCTTGTTATCTTTAATTGGTAGTTGACCTTTACTTTCAAAGCATTCAAGGCATCTTTACTAAATCTATTATTTCCATCTATAGAATTAGTCCAAGTTGAACTAACTATTGGACAGGGAAGTCTGTAAATCATTTACCTTTGTTTGTAATCAGCCTTATCATTTTGCATTTAGAGACTCTGTCTGGCTAATAGCATCTTCCAATTGTCTTCAGATAGTGTTCTATGAAATAGTGTTGGTACTGGTACTGCAGCATATTCCAGAAACATTTTGCTATCCGATCAATTTTCCATGTTGTCAGCAAATTAATTCGAACAAACTCCGCTCTACATTATTGGTATTCTTTGGGGTGATCGTTTCTTCATAGTATCTGCCCACTGAGTAAAAGAGTAGAATCTTTTTCGCGTTAGGAAACTACTTTGCAAACAGATTACGGTTTCACACATTAACAAATAAGTGGAAAAGCATGTTGATATTCAAAACAAAAACAGGAAAACATCAATCGGATTTTATCGCTCAGGCTTCAAGTTCAATTGCTTTTCAATTTCTGATGAACAAGCAAAACTAATATCTCTCCTGTGAAAGCGACATGTTCCATTTTGTGGACATTACGATATTCAACAATTGAATGACTGAAGTGTTTCCATTTGAAAAGAAATGCCAAAGAAAGATATCGTGTTTATTTTGGAAAAATGCTGTATAATTAGCTATAGACATCAGGGGAGGTCGAGAATATAATTTTTCTGCAAACGATGATTTAGGCGGAAATAGGTCCATTGGCCGTCATTTTTTTGGAGCCATAGAACTCGTAACTTTGGACGCCACACGTGAACTGAGCTGGTTTCCTTGACAACAAAGTGTAGTATTTATTTTATTGCCATCCAATGAACTCAAATACAACATATTGGGATTGCAACAATGAACTCTAATACAACTAGAAGGCTAACTCATTATACACATGCCTAGACTTGTCTGAAGTATCGAGCTCAAAAATAACTAGAGCGGCTGTCTCAAGCGTGGCTTAGATATCTGATTACGCCATAAAATGGCGGATTTCGTCTGTTGCCGCTGAGATTTACCGAAATTGACCGCTTTTCCAAAAATTTCACAATTTCCCACTCCCTCCTGAGGAAAGAGTGAGGAAAATTTATGTGTGTATTTGGGATTCGGCAAGCAATTTTTCATGAAAATCAAGGTATAAACCTTAAATTCATAATAGTGAGTCAACTGTGGCTGTCAGTTATCTGCTCCTACGAGGATGCATTTATAACTATCGACGAAGGAGCTATATGTAGGCTACACATGTATGAATGCAGATGTGCGTTGTTTTCTTTCCAACGTCAAGCTTGTTTGATCGATTAAACTCTTTAGTCTATTCAAAAAAGTATATCATAGTTCATCTCCACGGTTCACGAGTTAGAAGTTAGCTTATTTGTTGTCATGCTATTTTGCTTCTTTTCATGCAATGGGAAATGGCTTTTTTCGACACAATGGTAGAATTTTTACATGTTTCTTTAAAAAAGTAAATATTAAATCTCTGGATATTTACGGATTTTCTGTAATTGAGTTTTATATTAAATTTCAAAAAGACTCAAGTCTGCATAGGTTTGGTAAATGAAAACAAACAATGTGGTATAGAAATTACTTTAAGTAACCTTTTTGTGATGTTCTGAAGTGCAACTGCATCAAATATTTGTAACGTTGTAGCACATTTTTATTTTGCAGTATTGAGATATGAATTGGGCAAAATGCAAATAGTCATATGAATACTTATGCTTCCAATGGTGTTTATAAATCATTTGTACTTTTAATACTTCTACACTTCTATTTCACTTAGTCTTGTTTTTTCCTATATTTGCAAAATAAGTGCACAATTTGTATAATGAACACAGTTTTCACCCCAATAATAAATTTCATAGGCAGTTGGTAGTGCATTTTGTTTTCTGAATATTCACATCTGGTGTTTTGTTCATACAAGAATGATGAAGTGCAAGTAGATATGTCATAGCAAGGCAATATAAGCAAATGAATTAAATACCTATATTATACTTTAACGCTAGAAGCTTAAAAGCTTTTTGGAAATTAGAAAGTTATTTGGTTATATTACCTTTATATCATCAATTTCATGATAAGAAATAAGAAGCAAAAAATTTGTAGAAAAGCTTTGAAAAGTGAAAAACGTTTCTTTAAAAAAGCAGCAACAATGCATATGATAAACCTCCATTCTGTACTCTATTAGGTAAATAAGCTGAAACTGTTTCTTGAAGCAAAAACTGTAATAATGAAGAAATATACAGTACAGAAACTTTAAAGGTTTCATCACTGAATCTTTAACGCTTCAGTATAGTGCATTAGATATTAGTAACATTTAAACAAAACTCAACTAAAATATTTTCATAAAGATATCACATGATTCAAACATTAAGTTATATAAAACCCAATAGCTTATACAGTTTGATGCTTCAAATCTGCATCGAGTCATCATCAATCTCAGTACAAATGTTTACATAGACACAAACTTTATGGCCTTCCCATTTTATATGTTGTGAATTGACATTTCATTAAGCATCAAAACACACACAACCTTCTTGCTATCTTTCTTTGGTTCATGAACATTAATTTTAAAGCATACAAGGCATCATTAGTGAATCCAAAATGTGTGCAGGGTCTTTTTGTTTTAGGGGAACTATTTTGCAAATAGATGGGTAAATTTACGATTTCATGCATTAACAAATGACAGAAAAGTATGCAGTATTTTATAAACAAAAACGGGAAAACATCAGTATA